GGAGAGAGAACAGCATTATCTGGAAAGATTTTTTTCCTCCCCATTTAATGTAGACAGTTGGTGGCCCTAATCTCACTCATCCAGATGTTATACCTATCAGGCATGTCGCTTTTAATTTAAAACTCACTTATTTTCTGTCTGATGATTAATTTTTCTCACAAGTTTTATAGTTAAGTATTTGTATAAACAGTATGCCTTTCATTGAATTGGATTTCTCACATGATTATTGCACAACTAAAAGCAAACTTAATTTGTAAATAGAAATAAGCTATTGATTTAGGGGCAAGGTTGACTGCAGAGATAAATTTAATACTCTACGTAATGTGTAAATCTAAAGTGGGGGATAAATTATCAAACTCTTTTTCTTTAAAAAGCAATCTTTCTAACAATTTGTTTTGAACACAGGTTTAGAGATACTTAAGGATATAAAAGAATGATTAACCCAGTAAACAAGTGCTGGAATGAAACCAACTAAGATGGCAGTAAGGTTGTAAAGCAATGGCTGCATGTATATTGAGATTTCTTATTAAGCATCCCAGAAGCTTTGTGCACTTGCTATGTAACTCTAACCTCTAAATTGCAATTCTGAGTCCTGTAAAATGCTAGAATGGATCCTTATAATCTGAATTGAGGATAAAGTTTAGATATGGATAACTGAGCCCTTCACATTTTGGGATCTTTTGTGTTTATGAAGTTATCAAAGGAAGAGTTTAGAACTTTGGTGCTGGAATCTTTCAAAAAAGGAATATTTGGATACCAAAACAGGAGTAGTGAGTAAAGAGGTTAAGTTTGTTTAAAGTAAAGTTTTTCCTTGCCTAATTAAGGAAATGAAACAGATTTGTGGTTAAATACTCCCCACCACTACCCCCAGCAGCACATACTTATCTGATCTTTGCTCCCTACTGCTTCATTCAAACTTTGGGAGTGAAGGCAGGAAACCCTGTGTAAGCTTCAAGTTACACTAGTCAGAGCTTACACATGGTGGAGAACTTTCTCTCTGCTCCCAAAGCTGAAAGAAACTGAATGGCATGCTTCTGCATACCCATAAATATTTTCTGTTGTCCCCAAAGGCTGAATGGAATGACAGAGTGGGAGAAGGGTGACAGTAAGCCTGTTCCTTTGCCATACATGTACAGATTTGCTATCATGGTGAATGGGGGTTAGTCTTAGGATAGGACATCAGGGCATCACTCTCTGCACTGGAACTGTGTGTTCAAATCCAATAGCGCTCATCTGTCATTGTATCCGCAACAGGAGAGTGCAGGCAATTCTATGTGTCAACGTTTTACTCCTGCTAACATTGTCAGTTTAATCTAAACACAGGTACACTTTAAAAGAGAAGTTCAGGATTAAAAATAAAATTAATAATTAAAAAAAAAATTATGTATATACTCACCTAAATGGATGCAGCATCAATCCAATGTTGCATCTGTCCCCCACCGCCTCTATACAGAGAATTGAGTGATCAAAGACACCTAACCACTCAATTCTTGACCTCCAGGCTCTCAACTACTTGCTTAGAAGCTGATCCAGCTGCTGATCCAGGCATCTGAGTGGATCCCAACATTAACACCTTCCCGCCCGGCCTATAGCAGATTAACGGCCGGGCGGGACACTCCTCCTTCTGAGTGGGCCGATGACAGATCACTACACCTGCTGTCAGTGTCATGTGACCCATCACAGCGGATCACATGCCAATTTTATACAGTGGCTTTCATGCCATCCTTGTATACAATTGTGTTGTTAGCTGTGATTGGCCACAGCAGTCACATGGTACAGACAGGGCCAATCACAGCCCATATGTACAATGTGATGACCTTTGCCAAATCACAACTAATCACAACAAAAGACTGAATGAATCAGTTTCATTCAGTAATAATGGTTGCTGATATCAATGAAATACATTGGTATTAGCAATCAAGATGTGTAAAAAAAAAATCCTGAGCACTTGCCCAGAGTAGTACAATGTTACTATGGTAACACTGTATTGCTCTAGTCACAGTGTGTTTAAAAAAATAGTAAAAAAAGAAAACAAATGTAATATAAAAAAGAAAAAATAATAGAAAAAAAAATATGATAACTCTTTACTGGAGTGGTGACAATATATGATTTTTATTTTCTAATTTCTTCATTTTCCAAAAAATTGTGAAAAATTACAACTTCAGCAAAAACTTGCCATGCCTCCTACTAAATACCTTGGACTGTGTATTTTCCAAAAATGGGTCATTTGGGGGGTATATGTACTATCCTGGTGTTTTGGATTAATTGATTTTCATATATATATATATATATATATATATATATATATATATCCCATAGTTTGTGGACTCTATAACTTTCCTACAGACTAAATAACATATACTAATTTTGGGTATTTTCATCAAAGAAACATAGCAGAATACATTTTGACCTTAATTTATAAAGCAGGTTATTTATTTGCAGAATTTTATAACAGAAATGAAGAAAAATGTTTTTTTTTTCAAAAGTTTCGGTGTTTTTTGTTTATTTAGCAATTAATAAAAAACTCAGTGATGATTAAATATCACCAAAATAAAGCTCTATTTGCGTGAAAAAAAGTGATAACTTTTTATGGGTACAGTGTTGCATGACCGTGCAATTGTCATTCAAAGTGCAAGAAAGCTGAAAGCTAAAAATTTGCCTGGGGGGGGGGGGGGGGAGTGCCTAGTATTGAAGTGGTTAAAGTCAGGATCATTCCAGAGTCTGGATTTACTGTGTGATGTCAGCCAACAGCAGGCTATAGGCTTTTATATACAGGTCACATGAATGCAGAAGGAAGTGCATTCCTGTGTAAAAGAGATTTGGCCCTACTTCTCCTTTAAGGCACCTCTATATATTAAAGGTTTCTGTTAAGGTATTGATTAGGTTTTCTATGACGCAGAGAAGAAATATGTCCTCAATAAAGCTGCAACATTTCTGCTGAGATCGTTTCCTATATACAGTACATATGTACCAGAGAGAAGAAGATCTAAGTTTAACCCTGACAAATAAGGTCTTTGAGCTCTTTTGTAGAGAAAAGGCTAAAACTAAAAAAAAAATCACCATATTATTACCATGATGCCAGGAGTGTCACAAATGGAGCTATCATGCATGGTTGGGGATTGCGAATCCTTTGTGCAGCCAGGAGACAGCTGACCTGGTACAGGGAAGTACAGGAGAAGAGATTCTGGGAAGCCATGGGGTTTTGGCCAGGAATAAAGGTAGTACAGGAATTTAAGTGAGAGACACGCCATCAGGAGACAGCAGTGGGATGCTGAGCTTACAGGAATACAGGGGTAATGAAGTGTACAGGGGTTCAAGAGTTTGCAAGTACACAAGATACAATTGAGATACATTTCATGGGGAGTCTAGGATGGGGATACCTATTGTGATAACAGGTGACATCAATACCTTGCTAGTTAAAGCTATAGATCTATATGTACCAGCATGCCTGCTGATTTCGGGCATTGAGGTGATGATCAACAGCAAAGCTAATAGTAATAGTTTGTGTTGAAACGTGTTACATGCAAGTTAGAATGTATGGCTCCATGTAGTGGAAGCTTAAATTCCAAGTGTTTGATTGTGTATTGTTATAGCCTTTCTTTAACCAGTTGAGCATGTTCTACGCAAGTCCAAATAAACTTCAGCAAAATACACAGGGTCCCCCGGGCAATAGGGGATCATGGGGCCCCTGTGTCCTTGCCCAAACTCAAAAAAGCCTATGAAAAAGGTAAAGGGGCATCTCATGGGACCCCCTACTGACCCCGGGCCCTCGGGCACTGCCCGAGTTTCCAAATGGTCAGTCCGCCCCTATTCCTAAATGGTTTCTCACAACCGTGTATATTAACCCACATTCTAAAACAGTTCCTAGTTACCAGCCAAGTTCCTAACAATACTTGGTAATTGTAGAGATTATTTGGAAATGAACAGTCATTTATTTATGCACCAGTGCAGATGATAAAACTAGAGTATAAAACACTGTGTGTTTCAACATACACTCGTGCTACACAACACAATTATAATAAATGAATTGGGTGGCAAATTAGAAAACCTAATGTGCAGCATTTAAGAAATACAGTGCAAGCAGGGCTGTTGACAATAGTCAGTTCAGCTGGCAATCAGACCATAGGCACTGATATACAGCCTAGTGAGGATAACAAACCTGCATTTCATGGCGTAATTCTATTCAATCAGGGGACTGCTGCAACTTAAAATATCAGAATACAAGATATCCAAAATAAATATACACCATGAAGCTGTGCTGTCCCTTTAACTATATACTACACCCAATAAAAGTGCTCTAGTGCAAAAAGACAAAAATATACAACAGATAAAAAGTGCTTATGGGCAAAAACCGTTCTTGTGTACCACATAAAAATATTAATATGCAAATTAGCAAATAAAGTGCTCCTGTGCATATCAATGAAATCCATAAAAAGTGATCCAACTGAATTCATACATCATTAGATACACTAGTATTGTGAGCAATCGACTCCAAAGTGCTAATAAACAGATTACAACAGAGTGCATATCAATTAAATAAATAAAATAAGTCCAACAAAGTTCATAAATCATTAGATAAACTGGTGCAATAAATGATCCACTGCAATTTCACTGTGCAGCCACCACCGCCACAACTAACCTCTTACCAGATTAATTAACCTCCAGATCATAAGAGGTTAAAACAGCAGATACCACTCCTCATGGTTCCACATCAAAGGTCTAGCTCTCAATGTGCAGCTATCTCCCTGGGACCTCAGGAATCCAGCATGTCCTCTCCCAGTCTGGCTCAAGCCATAAGAGGGAAATAAACCACAAAACCATGGCCCAATATCTAAATTACAAAAGGTTTATTAAACTTTAAAGGTACTCACAAACATTGACATCAATAGGCATTAAAAACCGCATGTCATGGATTAGCTCTTTCTAATGCATTTCCTAACAAACCACATCTTTAGGGACAGGGAGCCGACCATTGCATCTCACTTACACTATATTGCCAAAAGTATTGGGACACCCCTCCAAATCATTGGATTTAGGTGTTCCAATCACCTCCATGGCCACAGGTGTATAAAATCAAGCACCTAGGCATGCAGACTGCTTCTACAAACATTTGTAAAATAATGAGTCGCTCTCAGGAGCTCAGTGAATTCAAGCGTGGTACCGTGATAGGTTGCCACCTGTGCAATAAGTCCACCAGTGAAATTTCCTTGCTACTAAATATTCCTCGGTCAGCTGTTAGTGGTATTATAACAAAGTGGAAGCAACTGGGAACAACAGCAACTCAGCCACGAAGTGGTAAGCCACGTAAAATGACAGAGCGGGGTCAACACATGCTGAAGCACACAGTGCACAGTACTTGCCTGACTGCATTTTGCCAAGTGTAAAGTTTGGTGGAGGGGGGATTATGGTGTGGGGTTGTTTTTCAGGGGTTTAGTTCCAGTGAAGGGAACTCTTAGGGGTCAACATACCAAGACATTTTGGACAATTTCATGCTCCCAACTTTGTGGGAACAGCTTGGGGATGGCCCCTTCCTGTTCCAACATGACTGTGCACCAGTGCACAAAGCAAGGCCCATAAAGACATGGATGAGCGAGTTTAGGGTGGAGAAACTTGAATGGCCTCCTGACCTCAACCCTATAGAACACTTTTCGGATGAATTAGAGTGGAGACTGCAAGCCAGGCCTTCCCGTCCGACATCAGTGCCTGACCTCACAAATATGCTTCTGGAAGAATGGTCAAACATTCCCATAGATATGCTCCTAAACCTTGTGGACAGCCTTCCTAGAGGAGATGAAGCTGTTATAGCTGCAAAGGGTGGGCCAACTCAATATTGAACCCTACAGACTAAGACTGGGATGCCATTAAATTTCAGCTGCGTGTAAAGGCAGTTGTCCCAATACTTTTGGCGATATAGTGTATATACTGGAAACACAGTCTCAAGGTCAAGAACTAAAGAAAAGACTACTTGCATGATTATACAATGCAATGGAACAAGTATGCAGAACAGGAGATATAACTTTATGCTGGCGTTATCGGCTGCATTCTGTTTGCTAGCCAAAGACACATTAAAATCCAAATATTCACATAATAGCCATTCAACTTGCATTTTCAGAAAGAAGTCAGCAATGTTAATCCATAAATGTTGGTTATGACGTTTCTCTATTATTTGACAGCATGCCTTAAGAGTTCTAAATGTGTTATCCCCCCAAAACCCATTTAATGTTTCTTTTTTAATATTAAGAAGGGTAGCAATTAATGAAAGGCATAATATATTTTTGTGCTAAGTAGAATGTGTTTGATTCATTATCAATTTTCTCTGTAAGCACAAATTTTTCACATTAAATGTTTTTTTTGGTCTTCAGAAAATGTATAATTAGATAAAGACTACCTGAGTGAACAATAACACATGTCATCCATTGAATGAATAAAATTATCTAATACCCAATGGCTTTGTGTGAGATATAATTACCCACTAATTAAATCAACCCAATTAAGGGCATAATTAGAATCAGATGATTGAGCATAGCCAGGCTTGATTTTGTATAGTCGGGTAAGATATACAAGTTACATATTACAACCACACACTCTACAGATTGTTGAATTAGCAAATGGACTGGACTCTCATCAATCCAATATAGGAACATGTCACCAGTATTCCTTTATTCCACTTCAGTTTAGTCTGATGTCTTTCATCAAAGTCACAAACAAGAAATGCGTGTTTTCGGAAGATAGCAAATGAACAAAAGGGACCCACAATAATACATATTCATGCAATCTATGACATAATTATGACATCACATGCCTGTATAAAATACATAAATGTCATGTGAAAGGTCTAATGCAGAGATAAACACCACAATGTTGTTTGATAGATAAACCTGGATTTTTTTTTTGCTTTTTCTGCTTTTTCTCTAACTATTCTTATTATGATTTTCAAGAACATTATCTTGTATCATGTTAATATTTTTTTATTATAGCATGTATTTTGTTAAAATATTTTAAACATGTTAGTTTTCATGCCTTCCCTTCTACGTTATTCTTTTCTCCTGTTAGCTGTCAGACCGCATGGGCTAGACTAGTCCTGATAATAAGTGTTATATTTGATGTAGCACACACAAACCTCAATAAAGTAGCACATACTGTATATTCTTACTTGTTACCAATAAATATTTGCAGATTATCTTGTACTTTGTTTATCTTTCTGCAATTTGGTTATGGACTTTCCTGTATATTCTGTAAAGTCTTTTCAACCATATTAACTTTGATTCCCTTTAAGGTTACATATACAATTCACTTATTTTGTTTAATATTGTTTATTTATATTTTGAGTTTACACATGTAACTCTTAAGCAATGTAAAGGATAAGTTCACCTTTGAGAACATGTTACATATGTCCACTGCTGCAGCCTCTCCCTGATCCGCCACCTCTAGTGACTTCTTCCCGAACTCGCTGTCACAATAAACAAAAACACGTCCCTTCGGACGTTCATTCACAGAGTTCTGTGAATGGGAAAACTAAAACTACCATCAACCTTTAAAGCTGATGGTTTGTAGTTTTCAATCAACTACCAGAGCACTGGTGAAAGCTCTAGGTAGTTCATTGATGGTTCTCGTCATTGAGTAACTGCCTGCCAGTACAAGGTACAAGCAGACAGCTTTCATTGACAGTCTGCAAGAGCCATACATTGCACCCATAATTTGCTGATCGCAGGTGCAATGCTTTACAAGATTCTAAAAAATATTATAAATGCTAATTTTTTTACCTGCAAAAAGATGTTAATTATTATTAAAGGTGAACTGCTGTGGTTATTTACTTTACTGTCAGTATGCTAGGCAACTGGGTCAAGGTTGCCCTTAATGTTGGGACACCTCTTTTTAAAGGGAATGTGTTGAGGCATGCATGAGATCAATGTACATCTTCTGCGTTAGGATTTTCACCCCCTTTTTTGCTTTTCACTTACTCTGTGATGGTGGGTAATGGTGGTTTCACACCATGCTAAGAAAACCAGAAGTCAATGAAAACATCAAGTATACAGGGAAACTGCTACAGTTCAAAATATTTAGGTGTATTTAAGCGTAATTATGAAACAAATGTAAGTTTCTGATTTTGACTTGGTATCAGCATCTTGCATTCCCCTGTACAGCAGGGTAGAAGGACAGCAAAGGGAACCAATAGGTTGCACTGAAATGTTCATGTGCTAACACAGAACATATTGATAGTGGCAAAAAGCAGGGTGACAGATGTATAAGCTCATCTGTATGCTGCTTCTCCCTCATTGTCCAACCGCAGACTGGGGACATGGACAATACCTAGTTATATTAAAGCCCCTTTCACACAAAGGGTCTGATTAGGTCCACCTGTCCTTTTTTCAGGTAGACCTGATCAGACAGGCCATTCACTCCTGTCGACTAGTGGGTGTAAATGGACTTAGCGATCTGTCCTCCTCCATCTAGGTGGTTCAGATCAGATGGCAGTCGGGTTTAACCAGACAGTGGAGTCTGTTTACTCCCAGCTGCCCAGAGAACAGAGCGGACTGCTCTGCTCTGATCAGCAGGACATCAGTGGAAAGATCCCCTGTTGATCTCAATTCAGTCAGCCACCTGTGAAAGGGGCCTAATGTATCGTTGTAGAGGAATGTCAGATCTATAGGCTGGTTCTGCTGTCTGGAATGATGTGTAAATCTTTGGAATGAATTGACAGAAATACAAATCCATTGACAGTTAAATTAGTTATACATGTTTCAAATATTTATTTACCGTTTGACTGGATTTCAGCTTTAATATTTAAATCTCAGAAAGAAACTCATCAAAATGTGCTGTAAACTTAATTTTCATTCTAAAATGAATGCATAAGGTCCTGGGAACTTTCCATTTTTTTTGTAACATGAATTAACCTTCACATAGAATAGCTAAATGGCTAACACTAAATGCTGTTTGAAATTCCTATGGTTTGGAGGGAGGCAAAAGATCATTCATAAGATTATTTCTGGGACAGCACAGCCACTAACTGATTAGCACTTCCACCTGGCAGCACTAGGGTCGCTGGTTCGAATCCCAACCACGGCACTACCTGCATGGAGTCTGCATGTTCTCCCTGTCCCTGTGTGGGTTTTCTCCCACCCTCCAAATACATGCGTTTAGGTAACAGAGTCCTTGAAAAAGTATTCATACCCCTTGAAATTTTCCACATTTTGTCATGTTACATCTGAAAAGTGTAGTGTGCATTGGTATTCAGTCCCCTTTACTCTGATGCCCCTAACTAAAATCTAGTGGAACCAATTGCCTTCAGAAATCACCTAATTAGTAAATAGCATCCACCTGTGTGTAATTTAATCTCAGTATAAATACAGCTATATTCTGTGAAGCCCTCAGAGGTTTGTTAGAGAACATTAGTGAACAAACAGTATCATGAAGGTTCAGGAACAAACCGGACAGGTCAGAGATAAAATTGTGGAGAAGTTTAAAGCAGGGTTAGGTTATAAAAAAAATATCCCAAGCTTTGAACATCTCACAGAGCATTGTTCAATCCATCACCAAGACATGGCCGTCCACCTAAACTGACAGGCCAGAAAAGGAGAGCATTGATCAGAGAAGCAGCCAAGAGGCCCATGGTAACTCTGGAGGAGCTGCAGAGATGCACAGCTCAGGTGGGAGAATCTGTCCACAGGACAACTATTAGTCATGCACTTCGCAAATCTGGTCTTTATGGAAGAGTGGCAAGAAGAAAGCCATTGTTGAAAGAAAGCCATAAGAAGTCCCGTTTGCAGTTTGCGAGAAGCCTTGTGGGGGACACAGCAAACATGTGGAAGAAGGTGCTCTGGTCAGATGAGACCAAAATTTTATTTTTTGGCCTAAAAGCAAAATGCTATGCGTGGTGTAAAACTAACACTGCACATCACCCTGAACACACCATCCCCACTGTGAAACATGGTGGTGGCACCATCATGTTGTGGGGATGCATTTCTTTAGCAGGGACAGCGAAGCTGGTCAGAGTTGATGGGAAGATGGATGGAGCCAAATACTTTGCAATCTTAGAAGAAAACCTGTTAGTGTCTGCAAATGACTTGAGAATGGGGTGGAGGTTCACCTTCCAGCAGGACAACGACCCTAACATACAGCCAGAGCTACAATGGAATGGTTTAGATCAAAGCATATTCATGTGTTAGAACGGCCCAGGCCCAATTCCAATTGAGAATCTGTGGTAAGACTTGAAAATTGTTGTTTAAAGACACTATCCATCCAATCTGACAGAGCTTGTGCTATTTTGCAAAGAAGAATGGGCAAAAGTTTCACCCTCTAGATGTGCAAAGCTGATAGAAACATCCCCAAA